TTTGTTGTTTTAAGTACTGTTTCTTCATTTACAAGTTTCTGTGAATTCAAAATTTTACACCTTTATGTGAAATAATATAAATAACATTTTTTAAACGGTCCAACAAAATGTTTAATTTGATTAAAATGTTTTTGGCCGATTTTAGCGGTCTTCATCAGTTATTCTAATATTAAAAAGAACAAAGCATTCGAATTTATGTAATACAAAAATTAAACAAACTCAGTGTGGTTGTGCATATTAACAGAAATGCAGTTGTGGGTTATTCAAAATTATAAAAACATAAAAAATAAATGAAAAATACAAACAAATAAATGTAAAATAAAATAACAGTGCTGTCTATGAGGATACATATGTTAACTTATGTTATTATAAAAGGACTTCCAAGCAGTGGATAATCCTTCAGAATCCCTGTGATTAATGCATTCCATGATAATATGTGCTTTGTGTATCTCCATTTTTTTCAAGATGCCTCACAGCTTGTATAGATCTTGTAGCTCTAATGACTGCTGCTCGATCCCAGAATATGGTGATATCCTGTTACTTTGGACAACGCTGCAAGTACAGTACTATCAATGCTCGTACTCGCAGAGTATTTGTGTTCATTTATCCTTTGTTTTAAGCTCCACATAGTTGCCCCAATATACATGAGGTTGGAGTTAAATCGATGATCTTTTTTAGGTATAGAATATACCCCTGTCTTATTATTTCATTTATCCTTCCTCTTATCATTCCTTAACAATCTGTACACAGATTTTTATATTTTTATATATTTTAGTTTCAGTAAGAATTTATTGTTTATTTATGTGAAATTTCGAATTCACTGTGTAATGTGTAAGAATACAATTTCTTTAAATTCTGAATGAAAGTTCTAAAATTTTTATACAGTAGTAACTTTATTTTGCTTTTTAGAGAATTTTTATCTTTAATTTTATAAGTTTTGAAGTTCTACTATATGTTCAATATTTATTTTTTAAATTTTCAGTTATTGTATTTATAATTTTTAATGAAAAATATAAATTACTAAATTTTTAATACAGTAATACCCTGACTTATGCTACCCCAACTTACGCGAACCCGGAGTTACGCGATTTTCAAATCTCGTCGATTCGTCTTTTGTTTGAGCGCCATGCAACCCTTGATTACTCACTCCCCCCACACTATTGTTCAGCTTACATGTTCGGACGTGTCGTGTGGAATCCACACATAGCCACAATTTAATTTGTGTTATTTATTTCTGTGTTTGTTATATCTACAGAGACTTGAGCGACTCTACTATGTCATCCAAACGAAGTAGAACTAATTCTTCTGCATCAAACAAGAAAAGAAAAACTTTATCTTTGGAATGTAAAGTTAACATTGGGTATGTTCGTAAAGTCGAACGAGTTAAGCGAGAACGAAGTCATTGTTATTCCTATTTCGTTATACTTTTCGAACGATTCGTTACTAACGCGTTTAACTCGTTTAACTTTACGAATGTATCCATTATTAAAGACTTTGATACAAAAATGAAAATTTGTGAATTGGCAAAGAAGTTTGATCTACCGGAATTGTCAGTCAGAACAATTATAAAAGGCAAAGAAAAAATTCTCCAAGCTGTGAAAAATGCTTAATCCTTAAATTCAAGCATCATTTGTAAACGTCACGGTATTATCACTGAGATGGAAACAATGTTAAAATTATGGCATAATAATCAAGTAAATCTGAAAAATTGTAAAATAATATAGTCTAGGCCTAATTTGTTATACATATATATTATCTAAGATTTTATTAAACATTTTTTTCTAAATTGCTGTTTTCTTTAGTCTCAGGCCCCAATTAAAAATTATTTGTATGTATTTATATGCGAAATTATACCCTAACTTACGCGAATTCGACTTACGCGGTTACCGCTTGGTCCCACCTATCACATAAGTTTGGGGTATTACTGTAATCAATTTATTATGAAATATAGTAATGTATCATGAAATTGCAGCTGATATTTTGTTTTTATATTGACAGTTTTTAAATGTCATTGATAAAGAAACAATAATGCTAAATGGGTGTTCGTGGTATTGGTATATACGTAAATGTCATTTAATATGATATAACCATGAATAAAATTCAGTATTGCAAAACTAAGCTTATTTGATATTAGAAACACCTGCTGATGAAAGAATAGGAGATAGAGATGCTTATATTATACATAGCATGTATAAGATTATACATGCTATGGTATAGTATAAGCCCAGAATTTTTAGTATTGTTATATCATGCCACCAGATATATAACACTTTTTCTTTGTCTCCCGACAAGCATGCTATAATGAGGGGCATGATTATGAATTAGATTATGAATTTTTGGATTTGTATGGAAAATATGTAAAATTAAATATTTATAAGAAAACTTTTTAATGCCAAATGAATTGCAGAATTATACATCTGACTGTAACAATGTTAATTTAATGATTAGATATAGAGCAATTTGGTATAGTTAAATTGCTTTATATTTAAACATTAAATTAACCATATTACATATAAATAAACATCTTGTGTAACTAAATGCAGTAAATACTTAAACAAATACACTAATACAGTAGAGCCTCGAAAACTCGGCCTAATGTGGACCGAAGGGTGGCTGAGTTTGTGAAAATGCCGGGTTATCGGGAATGGGGTTAAAAAAGGATAAGTATGTGTGTTTCCTCAGAAAATATTGTACTGTACTTGTATGTATTGTTTGCTTGAGAATACAACAGAGAATAAACTGCCCAAATACCCTTAAACAAAGGAAAAGTACGTCCTTTATGAAGGCATAGAGCCTTTACTACATGAAAATGAAAATTAATGAATACACTGTGTACAGTAATTTACCTGATAAGACAGATCTCAGAAAAATACTTTATGGGGCATAAAGCTGTCTATAATGAAAATTAATTAACTAAGGATTTTTTTTGCCCTGCCAGGGTGTGGCCGAGTTATTCGGAGTGCCGTGTTATCAAGTGTTGAGTTTTTAAGGCTCTACTGTACTAAAACGACCCAGCAGAAGAAGAATACTTTTATTTGGAAACAAAAATATTTGTTTTTGTTTACAAGTAACCTTATTATAGTCTTTGAATAATCCAGCAGTACGTTTGAAATTAGGAGTTAAAAATCATGTTGCTGTATATGTTATATATATATGAAAAGTTTTTAATCTTTGTTATAATTTTGAATTACACTTTCATATAGTTTTTGAAGCTGTTATAATTTGTGTTTTAATTAATTAAAAGAACTGTTAATGCAAAGACAACTTTTTTAACTACTATAAGAAAAAGATTTGTGAATAATAATAAAAACCATATTCTTTTTTAGATTGATCGACATGTGGCATATAACTGGGGAGACTAGCATGTCAGAAACACTGGGGTTACTGGCATGTTGGTTACATTGCAATCAAAAAATAAAATTAATTAGATCTAACAAAACTAGTTGTTAAATAAATGTTAAAGAAAACATTCTTTCCAGTATAATAACATTGTTAACTATAATTCAGAAATGGACAGCACGCCAATCATTTAATAGGAGATACTTCTTAACATATAGGCATTAAATTACAAATAAATGTGGCTAGATTAACAAGCGCTTTTGACAATAATTATTTTTGCTTTTGATGAAAATAATTATCTCTAAAAATCTCTTAAAATTATTTCTAAAATTCCATACTTTTTTATGGAAAATTGTTTAGTGTTTAATTACATTAATCACAAATTATTATAGTAAATCTTTACATTATTTTAATCCAGTTAAATGTGTTAAATGCATTTTTGTTTGGAAAAACTAATTTTACTTTCCTGGCTGTTATGTATATAAGCTGTTTTTTGTCAACCTTTGATGGTCCATAAAACAAAGACAAGTGTATACAACAAAATGAATTTATTACCAAAAGTTAAGTACAAACATGGTTACTTTTCGACATAGTCACCGTGAAGATTGAGGCATTGACATATCTGTGGACAAACTTTGCAATTCTCTTGTCATAGAATGTTGCTGCCAGTGACTTGAGATGGTCTTAATGTTATTTTGAAGATCATTATTAGTCTCAAACCTCTGCTCTCCTAGTAACGTTTTCAGTTGAGGAAAGAGGTGGAAGTCTTTTGCTATTTTATAATAATTAAAAATATATAATATTTTTATAATAAAATCTCATAACAGATGGCACTACATACAATTTAGTTGTTTATTTTGATTAATAATACAAATGTTACTTTTAAAATCAAATCTCATAAAAACCAAGAAAGTTATGCAACTTGTACCTAGATTTTTTTAAATTGACATCCAATTTTAAGATGAATTGAATAAAATGTAACTAATAATGTCAATAAGTTCTTATTCAGTTTTGTGTAGATGTAATTTTATAAATGTCGAAATTAAACAAATTTGCCCTTGACATTTGTATAGAACTCTCCAAACTTCAATTAAACTTAAGAAAAACTACGCTTTATTGGAATGTAAACTTTTGAAATCTTTAAAATTCAAGCATTTATCCAAGGCTTCATTTTTAAAGTTCAGAAAGGTTAAAAGTATTTGGATTTTAGTTATCAAAATTTTAACTCCAGTAAAATGTAGTTTTTTTTATAATTTTCATCATTATTATATTGTTTTCATTCATAATTAAAAATGACTTATACTGAAAATTCTTTTATTTTTGAATGATTTTATTTATTATAATTATAAATAAATTTTAGTTATGTTAGAATATATTTTAATGAATCATTTTAAATTTTGGAAACCAATATACATTTAAATATTTAATTATGAAATTGGTGCTCTTGTAATAATCATATCAAAATTTTAAAACTAATTTTACTTAAATTAAACTTTAGCTAAAATAACTTTTCTATTTTAAATTTACTAATAATTTTTTAATTTATATAATTTTCTTAATCTGTCTTTTTACTAAAACATCAATAGGATATTTCATTTAATCCAAATATATCTTCAAAATATAGTTATACGTAAAAATAGTTTTCGGACCTTTTTCTTCAGGCTTCCGTGGCTGTTGTGTATACGTCAGTTGGCCAGGTGATTGGATCAAGTCAACAGAATGTTTTTACATCTATAAATCAGCCAAATTTGACAAATTTTTCTCAAGGTGGTCAACAAATACTTTCCACCTCCCAAATAGCCTTACAAAGTTCTCATCCTTCCACAGTTGGTCTCCATTTGGGATATCAACAGCAACTTCAAAGTGGACAGGAGCCTTCTCAGTCACTCTCTCTTATCTTACCTCAGTCATCTACAATTTGCTCTGTTCCTGCTCAAGAACAAGGACTTTCCGCTTCCCAGTCAGTTCTCCATCCTCCTGTAAACCAAGTTTTAGGTTTTTCTCAATCCACTCTGCCATATAGTACTTCAACTTCTTTTCAACTTCCTCACCAAGTAGTGACTGAACAACCTACAGCAGTTTCTCTACAGTCTTCCATTCCACAACAGATCGATAGTATAGATAAAATTGCAGAAGCATCTTGCTCACAATACACAATCCAGTCTCCTCTGCAGATTGACAACAAAAGTGAACTCCCTATTACACCAATTTTAACTATTCCTACTAGTTTTCAAGGTGCTGGCTTAATTGAAAATACCATTACACAAGAACAGTTTGGTTCACCACAAAAGAGCTGGATACCTCAAGCTGCAGTTATACAACAACAGTCTAATTCCTTATCATCTTCTCTTCCATTTCAAAATTTGCCTTCTACAACTCTACAGTTTACTCCATATCAACAGGTAGGCTCTTCTAATAATTTAACACAACATTTTCTTGCAACGACTCCAATTTCATCTAATCCACCTGCAAAGTTTATTCCCTTTTCAAGCATATCATCAAGAATGGATAATGCTTCGTTATCAATGGAGTGTCAAGAAAATTTTCAAAATTCCTGCAATTCAAATCCTAATTGCCCAATTACTAATCAGTCTAATTCTCATTATATTATAATGACAGTTCCTTCTAATGGAAATCAGCAACCAATTCAAAAAAGAGCTTGCTCAATTGGTTGTCCACCCTTCCAATATACTTCAAATTCCTCATATTCAAATTCTCCTGTACAGTTGACCAATAATCATGTTTCAAATTTTGTTAGATCACATTCATTTTCTCAAGCATTTACGCCAGTCTCACATGTTGGTAGATCATATAATCATGTTCAATCACCACTTGCCCTTCAAAATAATAGGTCGTTTTCAAACAATATTTATTTAACACATCCTGAACAGTCTACATGCATTCAACCAAATAGTAGACCTAGTACTCCATTTCCACCTATTCAAGTATTGGTACACGATCATGTTCCTAGCAGAAATTCACCAGTTAATCTAACACCACCCCCACAGCTTTTATCTTTTCCTCAACCTCCCCAAAGTCCAAATGTTATTAGACCAGTAACCCGAGTTGCTTCTCCACTAACATTACCTATTGGATCATCTCCACCTTCCCCTCTTCCAACTCCTCCCCATACACCAGATTATTCAACAAGTTCAAAAGAAAATTTTACATATTCAAATATAGCCCGAGCAGCTAGTCCTTATCCTTCTTCTAATGGAAGAATTCACATTTCTAGATCTTCTACATCAACTCCATGTTCTCCAGTCTATACTTGTATACAGCCATCATTTCATTTACAATCCAAAAGAGATCTCTGTAGATCCACTTCTGTAATTGCAGTTCCTACTCATTCACAATCTTCCAAATATTTGTTATCTCAAAATTCTGCTTCAACTCCATCTTCTCCAGTTTCTTCATCTTTCCTTTCATCTTTTCCTACACAACAATCAAATGTATCTCAACAGGAAGACCAAACAGACATTAAACATTATGAGTTATCCAATTACCCAAATAATAATCTTCAAGTAGAGTATGGATTTACTCCTCTACAAATTCCTTCAAGTTCTGCCAATAGTTTTAACTCTATGTCAAATAATCTTGTGTTTATTCCTTTGGAAAATATTTCTTGTTCACAAGAATTGAATGCTATAAGCAAACCTGCTATGACTATCTCCTCAATGTGCCTTAGTCAACAAGACAAAATTGGACCAATGGAGCACACTCCCAACTCACAAATTCCCCAAACGTGGGTTCCTCTGACGTCTCTTGCTATGCCTACACAATTTGTTCCTGTTTCTATGGCTAAAACTGACAATGCCCAAAGTATGAACGAAGTTGATAAACCGAATCCAGTTTATTTGAGTCCTCAGAGGTCTTTGCCTTCCATAAAGCTACAATCCTCGTTTCTTCATCCAAAAAATCAGGTATTTTTTATGGAAATGTCGGTGGAGGTCAAATTGCACTTGTCTCTGATTCTGAGAACAATTTCTTTGCTGACTTTAAGCTGGAATATTTCTTTTCTTCTTTGGTTTTCTTTAAATTTGATAGGTTGGTGCAAGCAAATTTGTAGTATGCATTCATATAGTGAGAGGTGAAAATAAAACAGGAAGCTTTTACTAACATACCTTAACTAATATATGTCTTTTATCTACTAATGCAACTGCTTGCTATATTAACATGCATGTTAATTTATCTTGCCTGCAGATGGCAATAATCTGAATTTTAGAAAAATTAAGCAAAACGTTTTTTGAACATATTTCTAATCTATAAATAACAAATTAGTATAAACCACAGATGACAAAACAAGATACAGGGTACTTATTACTTCAGCAAAACTTTATATTAAGATTAAGATACAGAAAAAAATGTAAACTACTAAATTTAGTAATTTACATTTGTTTCTAACTACTAAATTTAGTAGTTTATATTACTCTCACAAATGAATTTCTCAGTTTGAAAAAGTTAAATAAAGATAAATTGTTTTGCTGAAACAAATTAAACTTCATTCATAAGTCACAGTTTTGTACTAATTTGTCATTTTATCAGGTGATAAAATGAAAAGTTTGTTTACAAGAGTAGACTTGATGGCAGGAGTCTGAAACCCAAATGATTCATTACATTTTGCCGAGTCTGCTTGCAAGCTAATTTTTCATTTGATTACCTAATACATATATTTATATAATCTGTTTACAATATTGTAACATTTATGTGATTAAGAAAATATGAAGTATTTTTAATATGCCTTATTTATACTTCATTCTTATGAGTAATTGACTAATAAGCTGTATAAAGCAACATTATTTTCAATGAAATTTTTATAATTTTGTTTAAAGCTTAAAATGGGAATTTGATTATTAATAACAATATTTTGTACTAATTTAAATATATAGAAGCAGTTTAAACCTTAAAAATTAATTAATTTCTCACAAAAACTAAATTTTGAAATGCGTGAAATGTAATACATGAGTATAAATTTAAAAATTTATAAAGAAATTAAATGTTTAATATATTAAATAATATAATATAATATCTTGTAAAAAATTTATAAACAAAAGTTTACTTTTATTTTTGTAATTTAAATTGATAAAATAAAGGGTGACTCAAATGTCAGTTAATCTAGATTGTTTTTAAAACAATTGAAAAAATATATCTCAAAATTATCTTGGTTAACTGATTTTTAGACCACTTCCTTTATTTAAAAAAAAAATTCACTTTTAAGGCATGTTAAAGATTAATTCAGATATTAAAAATTGTTTCTCCTTAATTCTTGAAAAATGTAAATTATTGTTATAATGGCTATTTTAACAAAAAAGATTAATAATAATAATAATAATAATAAAACTTTAACATTTTTTATGCAGATTTAAGTATGCATTGCATGCAGCATGAATTCAGATTTCTTTTCAGTTTTTATTACTTGTGCTTATTTTAACAATTTATATTAATTCCTTTTTTTTCAGATGTTGAGTCGTTTTGTTTGAAATTAAATAATTAAAATTCTTTATTTAGGATATTTCTAATACTCAAATGCAGACTACTATGCAGAATCTTCAAGTGCAACAAATGGATGAAAATAAGCTAGACAGGTAATTTGATTTTATTACTTTAAAATTTAAAAATTAAACTGTTTTCAAGAAACCAAAAGTATTCTTTATTTGTTTGTATTCTTTGTAAGATGAAACCAACTGTAAAATGGCAAAAATGATGCCCAAGTAAATGAAATATTTCTTATTCAGTAATATTAATCTTTTAAATTACAGCACAGTACCAACTTTTATGCAATTTTGTTTAAAATTTTTTATTCTTTAAGTTTTCAAATGTGTTTAGAAAATGTTCTTATTTTAGAAATAAATAATGTATTTTTATAATAATTACTCTATAAAGTTAGTTTATTATGTAAAATATTTATTGAGCTCCCTTTCTTTCAGTAATATTTTAAGCTCAGATTCAGCTTGTGAACAAGCAGAATCATCAGAAATTTCTAAAGAAAGGGCTGCTAAAGCTGAAAGAAGAAAAGGTAAACGGAGACGAACGCAAGATCGGATGTTGAGATTAACTGTACTCAATGTAAAAGATGGAACCATAGTTGAATGTGAATTAGAATCTACCAGAGGAAAAACCGTTACTTTCAAATTTGATATAACTGATATTGTTCCTGCAGATGTAGCTAATAATTTGGTATGTTATGTTTTTCAATTCTATAAAATTTTGATAGTTTCTCAAAACAGCTTTTTTTTTTATACTTAATGAATGATGATTTTTTCAGGTGGTTACTAATCTAATGACAGAACATCATTCAGAAGCATTTATAGAATTAATAAATGACATTGTACAGCAGCTGAAGGAGAATCCAGATAAAATACCCGTTATTCAATATCAAGATCCTTCTAATACATCGAGTCCAGTAGTACAACGCAGACAAACTGGACATGAAATTCTTGACAGGGTAAATTTTTTTTATAATGGTTTTATGTGTATATATATATCTATATATGAGGAATTGCACTGTATAGCAACAAAATCACCACTTTGCGATAGCATGTGATGGTAAAATCCTAGTCCACTTGTTTTGACATTCAGCGTAAAATTGAATCACAAATCACACTTCAGGAAAAATGGCAAAATGTTGAGCTTCTGTACAATGGGAGGAGTCCTGTGCACAATACATCTAGCAATGTCATGGCATCACATTGCAAGTTCAAAATGAATAGTAGGAAGTGATGTTGAGAACTAAAGGCAGTTTTGTGCACTGCCACCCAGTGTTTCCAGATTGGGATATTTTATCAGCTGACAGAAATTTTGGGGAATTTTTGGGGTGACTTCTTTCTTTTTTTAAAAAGAAAAGATTTATTTATCAGATGAAAATTATCAGTAGAATGATAATGACCTCCACTGCTAATGCCAGTAAACCTCAAATTGTTTTATTACCCTATAAACAAAAGCTGCATTCCAGCTTGTATGTTGAGAGGAGCTGAAGATTTTTTCCCTAGGCCCAGGAGAAAATTTAGTGGCTCATAGTGGCTTCTATTCCTATAATTTAACTTTATTTTTATTAACAAAACATAAAATCTTTAAGATTGCTTTTTTTAATAAATAAACATTTTGTGTGTTTTAGGGATCTTGCTAGCTTTTTCAAATCTGTAGTTTTATTTTTTATTTTTTTTTTTGCTAATGTTGTCTTGAAAAGTGTAGCAAAATTTAAAATTCTGTAGTGTGGCAAAATAAATAATGTAAAAAAAATGCATTCAACATGATTAAAATTGTAGATTTTATTTTGATATCAGCCAGTACAAAATTAGAAATGCTATAACTTATTTATAGTCATACTAAGGTCACAATTAAAAGCATCTGTTTTTTCAGGCACCATGCGATAAAGGCAGCTTGGAAATCAAATTCTCTTTGAAGTGGACCATTGATATATTTATCAAATTGCTAACATTTATTACATCTAGTCTATTGTGTATTAGGTTTTAATGAGATTCATTTCACTAAATCAATATAATAATAATTTCACTGAAAATTATTGTACAGCCATCCTGGTCTGTTACATTTGCGGATTCAGATATATTGTGCTTTTTTTGGTCCTCAAAATTTTAAAAGTACTTCTGTCAATAAATTTGAAAATATCAATTGCTATTGAATTTCTTTTTGCAACAAAATATGATATCTTATTCTTACCACTGTCCTTGAAATCATCACTGCAGATGAAACAATAAATTTGTCAAGATATAAATAAGCAAAACAGGTGTATTGATCAATTGTCAATTTTTTTTAATATAATCAATTTATTATGAAATATAGTAATGTATCATGAAATTGCAACTGATATTTTGTTTTTATATCAACAGTATTTGTTTCTAAATGTTATTGTTAAAGAAGCAATACAGTAATGCTAAATGGATATTCATGGTTATCAATATATATGTCAACGTTATTTAATACTATATAACCACGAATAATATTCAGTATTGCAAAACTAAGCTAATTTTATATCAAAAACATGTTCTAATGAAAGAATAGAAGATAGGGATTCCTTAGCATGTATAATCTGTTTAGTATAAGCCAGAATTTTTAGTACTTGGTTATATTGTGCTTTTTTCTTTGTCTCCTGACAAGCATGATATAATGAGCATTTAAATTGTATTAAAGTATTTTTGAAGTAATTCTGAAATGTACAAAAACACATCATCATACAGGAAACTATTGTATTTGTCTAAGTGAGAAATTTTCTGTCATTTTTTTTGTGAATTTGCAGACAAAAGTTGTTACTAAATTACCCCACTTGTCACAAAAAAGTGAAAAAAACTACCAGTAGCAAGATCCCTAATGTGTTTTATTGAATATTTGTTTGAAAAAAAAATGGTGAAAGGAAATCACTATCCTAATTGTATTACAAGATACAAGCTTTTACTTGAGTCTCTAGTAAAATACAATTGAACTTGGTTAATTGTAAGTTCAAATGGAATGCAAAATAATTTGAATTAACCAATTTCATGAATAAATATTAAGTAATACAGATACAATGTACTTACTTTGTTGTTATATTTTCTTGTTAATATTAAGTGTAGCATTGAGTGAAAAGTGAAAAATGAAAATGAAAGTGAAATAGGTCTAGACTGCAAAAAGTCAAAAGTGACTGTGAATTTTGAACAACTAATCATTTACAAACAAGAGAAAATAGATCATCAATAAAAACAAAAAATTTTTCACATTGTTTTTAACTGCTGTTGCATATTTGTTACAAATATGAAAGATATGTTAAAAAGAAAAGGATGTTCAGTGAGAGAAATGTTTAAAAGGTGTGAAATGCAAGACTATCACACTAATTTTGATGTCTACTCTATTGTGTCATGATTTGTAACCATCTTAAAAGAGAATAAATCAACACAAAACAGCATTAAAGAGCTTTTAATTCTTTGCAAGCACTTTTGACATTCCTTTAAATGTTGTCTTCAGGCAATGACTGAAATTAAATGCTTTTTCAGAAGAAATTTTAAAATACAGAAACGAAATGGCATTAACTGAATGGAATACAAAACTTGGAACATAAAATTTTTAAGAACATTTTTTTAAAGTCATGCAGTGTCTATGCACATGTGCTTAGAGATGTGGAGACAAACACATAGAAAGGTGTAGGGAAGGTGGAGATTAGTGGTTACTAAGTATTATTTATTCACTTGTACAAATTGGCACAAATGTCAGGCAATCATCTTAAAAATTACTAAAAATGTATGACAACAAAGGGAACTGATTAGTGACGATATCACACTTTCTTTTTATTCCTTTTCCTACTTCCACTAATTACCTCAACTCTTCTCTCCAAAATTAAAGAATTATTGTAGATCCATGCTTCAACATGAAAAATATGCAACTAAACTTCAGTACACTGCTATTCCAAAGTACTGTACAGTAAATGAACAGAACAATAGACCTAGAGTATGTACTTTACTACACTAAACAATTAGAGATAATCACTAGCACCCGAAACCTAGCACATGATGTGACATTGAATATACTTAACATTCACTACTAGTATATGAATTTCATGCAACCACATGAACAGATCAAGACATGAAACATGTCGGGGAAATATCATTCTTGGTCCTTTCTCCCTGCTCTGACACATGCAGGCACTTTTTCCATGGTAACAGATGCTTTTGTTACTTCTATCACAATTTCAAATTGTTATTACTATTCTTAAAATTTTTTGAAAAATTGAAAATAGCAATTGACAGGAGGAACACTGCTCTTTAATCACTCTGGAGATGATATAATGCATGAATATATTGTGTTGAGTGAAAAACTTGCAAAAACATTGATGAACACATTATTGCACAAAATTGACATTTAGAATAATTTGTGTGCATATGTGCATATAATAATTATCTTCCAAACATGTACTGTTTACATGAAATTCACAAAAGATACACATTCTCTGAGTAAGAGAAATGAAGCAATGCTTGTTTAGCACAATACAATAGATCACATTTATTTTACCAAATTACACTGCATAGGAGTTTGAGGTGATCTTAACTATTCTTGAGATTTCAGATTTCAGTTATCAATGTTTTCTTTCACCTTCAAAGTTTTTCAAAAATGTCTGTGATTTGTTGTTTTTGCTTTAGCTCTGTGCTTTCTTTTTATATTGGGTCCTTAGCACACCATGTATCAAAATTCCAATTTTCAGAATACTAGTGCACCAAATTATTATTGAATAATTTTGGATTATTGTCTATTTTTCAAAAGATGCTGGATTAACAAACTTCTACCATATTTGATTTCATAATTAATTATTTGATTAATTTGGCATTTTTATTAGACATCAGCAAGACTTAATTTGTTGGAACCTCAATTAAAATTTATCTTTATATTTTGTGTAGAAATTAAGTCTCGAGAGTCAAGATAGCACTCCATCAACACCTAAATATTCCGAGAAAGAAACTGAAAGTTCATTTGCAAATCAAACACTGGCTGCTACGGCACAAGTTAAACCAAACAGCGAACCAACTCCAGCTTTGGTTCAAAATCAACCTCAAGTTAGTGAGCCTCAACATACCGTTCCAATGAAGATTGCCCAATCTCCTTCCCCTATATCTCAAGCCCAGGTGATTTTTTTCTTTCTATTTTAAGTAAAAATTTATAGATATGTGAAAAATAAGATACATATTGACTAATTTATGTTTGCAATATTTCTAAAAATTTTTCTCATACTCTGTATACAATGAAAGTAAGTTTAGTTAGTTTTCTAAAATAATTTCTTTTGATGTGATATATCCAGGGCATGCGAAGTGCCCTGAGGAAGAAATCAGCTCGTTGGAAAAAATTTATAACTTTTACTCATTATGTTTGTTGTTGTGAACTTCCACACATGCTGCTACCTGGATTTTTATCACAGGTTAGTTCATTTTTTATCTGTATGGCTTCCACAGCAATTTGTGGTGATAGAGCACATGATAAATTTTTTAATCATATGCATATTGAATTTTAAATGCTATGCATTTAGACATTAAAATATTATAAATCATAAAAAGAAATAAGATTTCAAAAAATATTTACAAATAACTGTCGCTTCTAAAACAATTTTCAAATGCAAAATAAGTGTCTTTGAATTAAAAATGTAGTTAATATAAAATATAGAGAAATTATAGCACTACAGCACTTTATTAAATATTGGAGCTTGGCACTATAAATTCAGGTTTAACATTTTGTTTTTATTTTCATTTGCTATTTGATTTATGTTTTTTGTATTATAGGTCAGCCATTTCTTTTTTTTTTTTTAATTTTAAATTACAATATTAGTTATAAGTTTATGTTTAATGTACAGTAAATGTTGTTAAATTGAAAGAATGAGTAAATGATTTAAATACATAAGTATGAAATTCTTATTCATTTTTACACATTAAGATGATGATCATAAAATGAAATTTTTTAAAAATTTTAAATAGATAAAAAAAATATTTTTCTATGCAAAATACAATATAATCATATTTTTGGGACAATTTTAAAGTACTGAGATTGCAGTGAGTTACAGACCCTCTTATATTATTACATTCACTTAATTTTGTGCATCATTTTGTGATTAATTACATTTGTGATGTGCCAAGACAGTTAATGTTCTTGATTTTTTTAAATTTAAAACCACTCTTTAAATTAAGTTTGTGGAAGACAAAATGAATTTATCTGATGACAGTTTTTTTTTTTTTTTTGGTCTGAAAAACATTTGTCTTTCTGTTTTACATGGACATGTTTTATTATAAAGAGTGGTTTTAGATTTAAAAATTGTCTTGCTCAATTTGTGTCAAATTTTCTATTTCCAATACTTTCATTTAATGATGTACTATATTTAAACATTTCTCAGTAATTGAAATAAATGACCGCAATTTTTACATTTTTTATCCTGCAAGAAATTGTTACCTGCATAACTTTGGTTTAAAAAATCTAATATTAAAAGTCTATTTTGTATTTTTAATGTGTTTTTGCAGTAATTTTTGGTAATGAAAGTTTGAATTTGGAATCAGAATAACACATATAATAATTGTCTGGAAATCAGATATAAACAGAAATTAATAAAATTTAATTTCAAATTTAGCGAATCATTCTATCATTGACTTATAACAAATTAAAATTTGATGTCTGTATTTCATTGAAAGTATTTGCTGTTCTAACAGTGTTATATTGATAATTTAATATTGAAGTATTTAGTTATTGATGTATTGCTGTTCTAATGCATATTTTATGATATTTCTTTCATGTAGCCATATATTATATTTATCTTGTTTCAACATCAGAAATAATTATAAATGTTTAAATTGAATGCCATTGTTGTGTGATTGAGCAAGTAAACATAAACAAAAGCAATTGCTATGGTTTACAAAAGAAAACTATAAAATGCATGTTTCTCACATTTGGAAATGCATTAATTAATCTGTTTTTACTTATGTTAGATACATTTGTGTAATTAAGTATGTATGAGAAGTTTAATTATTTTCTATATGTATTACACTTGACTCATCTTAAAATGAACACCAATAAAGTGAATTCTTGCATTAAAACAAATTTTGCCATTGTCACAATGTTTTTACACAATAAAGAAAACAAAAATTTTACCAGAATTTGTTAAATCAAATTGTAAATTACCTTCACAAACTTCAAGATATAATTTTGTTTCCATAATTAATTATGAAAACAGAATTATTATTTACTAATAATTATTTTATTATTTATGTTGAAAAATGTAAAAAGCATAGTACTGTAATTAATGTTCTAGAATAGATTTTCTTCTACTAGTAATCAAAGTTGGGTTAAACTTCTGATTGTAGAGCAATTCAAACATCTGGTTTTATTGGAACATTCTACTGTAAATATTAATTAAAGTTTAAAGACACACCTCTTTAAACAGATGCAGTCCTGTGCAAACACATGCTAGATTGCATATTGAGAGGAGGAGATTCAAGATTTGGCTCCTTTTTATCCTTTTGGCACCAAAAATATTTTCTACCTTTTCAAACAATCTTCAACAGAAAAAAATCACAAATTTCTTTTAGCTCTATTTTATTTAACCATTTTGATATACTGCTTCGTACTTAAATGGCAAATACTATTTTCTCCTAATTTTGTTTGATTTGAAAATCATTTAGATCATTAATTTATTTAACTTTATTTAGGAAATTAATTCAAAATATTATAATTTAGAGATTTCAATTGCTCATTAATCCTTAACTTTGTAATTTATATGATTTTGGCCTGAAAATCATTAATATGAATTTTCAGTGAAGTGAACTAACTATTGTTTTTCTAGCAGTTTGTATTAATGCAAGTTGATTGTATTGCTTATGTGCTCATCTTATTTCTGAGACTGTAATAAACGGTTACACAATCTAAATTGAAATAAACAAACAAACGGTTTTTGGATTTGGAAAAAATAACCTGTTAATTTAATTACATATAAAAACATTTTAAAATTAACAGGGTATTAATTTTCACATATGAGATGTGGACTGGAAATTTTCTCTGTTAAATTAAGATTTTTACTGTAATTAGATTTTGCCATAAGAAAAAATTATAATATGGTTTAATTGGACATTATAACTTCACACTGAAGTATAGGAATGGAATCATCAATCCAAGTGAATTACTTGTTCAGACACAGATTGAAAATGTGGAGTAGTATGTCAATTTCATTTAGCAAACATCAGAACAAGATGTTCTTAGAATGATATGGGTAATTGAAGCTATAAACAATGATGATGGTGTCTTTCAACAATTAAAGAAAGTTCATTTATGTTGTTTATGCCAAGACTATAATTTTAAAGTTGAAACTATCTATTTTTAAAACTTAAAAATGAATTGATAATCACAGATGAAGGAATTTTACTAAGGGACACCAGAATACTGAGATCCTTGCAGAATAAGGTGGTCATACTAAGTTCATCAAGATGATCATGGTATTATGAAAACCAAATAGTTACTTTGATCTGAAGTTTGATTTCTGGAAATAGACAAATTAATAGAAAGAGCTATTCAAAATTGTATTCCATGGATTGCAACAAATGACTTTTTCAAAAGATAGCCAATAAAAATGTCCAAGTTACCTACTGCACCTTGGGAAAAGGCCTAAAAAATGTTTTTCATATATTTTGTGTACTTTCTACTACTACTGTTTTTTGAACAAACAACAACATTAGCAATTGCATGCCGTCCTTGGAAGCGGTACAAGTGCCGCTTCCCCTGTATTTTCTACAATATAAATACGTATTGTACGATTATTTTCATATTTTAACGTACGGTACTTTGAATTAATTAAAATTAATATTTTATTATAACCTCATTATGTATCTTATTACAAATTTCTATACTACATGTGAAAAAAACAATAAGATTGCTATTGTATATTTTAATATCAGTGGCGGAATGGAAGCGCTGTATTGTTGAAACCAGGTCAGCTTCCAAGCAGCCAGGTTATAGGCATTTGCACATGTGCTTTACAGAGCACCAACCTCACAGTGGAAGCTACACACACAACACTTCTAGTGATTCTATCCAGGACTGGTTCTGGGCTGTTAGCCACCTGACTGCTAGATATTTGGCCACCCTCGTCCAATTATGTGAATCACAAGTAGATTTATAACTTAACCCAACCAATAGGAATTTACTGGTACATTTTTATGATAGTTCTGTATAGTTAACAGGAGTTAAAAAAAATCCATTAAAATATATGATATTTTTATTCTGCTCTCCCATCTTATATTACTTGTGGATTTCAATGTTAAACCAGTGATATTACGATTTCATATGTCCCATCTATAAGGGGATGTAGAAAATTCTTGTACAATGTAAAAAAGTGAACTGTTACTTTGGCAGCATCATTTACAACTAAATTTAATGAATGTGATGCACAAAGTACAAAAACAGTTCTAGAATTTATATTCCTTAAATTTATGATTTATGTATTCGTTGTCATAAAAATTTGTCTTTCCACTTCTTCCCCAAGACTACAAATATTCAAGTAACAGATTTCGACTTATTTCTACTTAAGAAGTAGTTACATAATTAAGAGATTGGGGAATTAGGGACATAAATAAAACCCTGCTGAAAGAGCCAGAATTTTACTTAAACAAAAGCTTAACTGAAACAATCTCTAGCTGAGTACAGTGGGGACTGATTTCTTCATAATATGAGATGTAATAAAGACAAATTTTTCCAGTTCAATGAGAGTGACTGAAAAGTCATAAATTTTGGAAATTTCTGTGGACACCTGGTCCTAAAATGAATTAGTTAGAAAACAAATGGCTATTAAGTTTAACATATTTAGATTTTTACAACTATGGTGAAAAAACTTTAAAATCTACAACAATCCTGTCACGTCCTTTGAGATATACTAGTGATGCGACAAAAGAGGCATTTGACATTAACCAGTATCGGCACCCTTGGGATTTGTCACGCATGCACGCACTGCACATCTACCAAGATTGTCTCTGATTCCATCCATGAGCTACTCATAGGGAGCAATTTTAACTAAGTGGATTGTTTTAATATTTAAAAAGTAAAGAATACTTTGTTATTTTTATGTATGTTTCTTCACAAAACTATATTTAATTATAATTTTCTTTAAAAGTACATTCATACAATTGAAGACTGTTTTGTACCAGATATGTATAATTGTATATCCATCACACATTTTATTTCACCAAGTAAGTTTTTATTATTTTGTTTTTAATTGTAGCCCTTATATTGTGGCTAGCAATTCAAAATGTAATTGTGATATTAAAAATACAATTAGAGAAGTCTACGGTTTTTATTGGCTTATCAAACAAATGAATACAAATGAATCCTAGACCATCACTGACGTGCACTTAACTGATTGCCCCTGGAAGTTGGCTTCTTACAGAAAAACAGCTTTCCTATCGTCAAATGTCACAATATGCTACTGAACATTACAACCCGTTACATTATAAACTACAAGCATATGTTATCGGGCTAATATTATAGCTGATATCTAGCCCG